TTTCATCTCAGCGATCACATTTTTCTTTTGACATTGCTGTTTTTTCCTGAAGAAGATGCATTACAATCGTTGAATTTGTTTTCAGTGTTGTTTACTTTGAACATTTGTAACGTGCTACGCCAATGTGGGAGTGAGGAATGGCACACTGTAGGAAGCATTGTGCCAGGTCAAGTGATCTATGTTCCACACACATAGCACACTCACTCTATGGTATGTGGACCTGTTCCGCCTTTCTACTTGTTTCGGCAGCATACCATCGTTTGCCTGATTCAGGAAAAATTTAATACCATAATTTCGTTGACACCAGACACAGACTCAGCCACGAAAACTTGTGTTGGTAGAAGACCCCTCTGAGGAAACTCGTTCAGCAAATAAGTAATGCACCCCTAATTCAGCGCTACCCTATGGAAAGAACGTAAGTGCCTTACACTCACGATTCCTGATAAAGTGATTTGCTCATATCATTGTATTAGCTAAATGTCATTAGTACAGATGAGCTGCTCCGCTCGTGCAACGCAGGATCTCCAAATTCTTCAAACAAAGAGCTGCAAACTTTATCTTACCTGTGTGCAGCATCAACAAATGACACCCATTACAGAGTCAAGATAAGTTCTTCGTCCACCTTGGTCTTCTTTTCACTTTGCTTAATTTTGTCAGAATTAAAATATCTATAAATGGGTCCTGGTTAATCTTAATTTTGATATGTTCGTCAACAATATCCTATACGAAAGCGCGTAATCGACCTCACTTGAAGCAGACATATCTACAATGAAATTATACTGTCAGCTTCGAGCGCATTTTGTTCCTGTTTAGGAAGATTGCTATTGGTACCTGATTCAACAAATCAGGTTTCTTGAAGAGTCCATGTCATTTCGCAATTTCAACGACCTGACACAACGGTGGATGAAAAAACTGATTAATTCATGAAAAGATAAAGGTTTATCAGTCTGAAATTGACACATTTCACATTTGCTTATGGAAACTACTATCAAAACCCGTTATATCCGAAATCGGAAGAGAGTTAATGATTTGCTCTTGTTACTGTAATTTCCGCCCACACTGTATAGCGATATTTATTCAGCCAGGTGAGAATGGCGAAATAAAGTTAAACAGAATTTACTGCTTAAAAGCGCTACAATTTCATACTTGACATGTCAATCTCCTGCTTGTTGTGTCTATGGCATCGCAGCCAATGCCGCTAAAACTACTGTTCTTCCTTAAAAGATACCCCGTTCTCTCTATTCGGTATGCAGGATGTCTTCTATATGTACACAATTGTAAATACCATTCTCTACCATTTTGTGGACTAGTTGTACGTGTAGTCTTCCATACAGTGTAGCATTCCATGTGCACCATATGGTATTGTCCAATTCTGTAATTCAAATGAGTGTTTTGGATCACGCTTAGATACCCCTACCACAATTTCATTTTGGCATGCTAAAATTTCCTAGTGTTCTTGTTATACTCCGAGTGTTAAGAATTTGCACTATCCACTATATCTTTCTATTGGATTTTATCAAACATTTCAGGGAACACACGTCATAATCCAGTATCAGGTCGATGTTACTTGTCATATTGTTGGGCGCTGTCGTCAATGGGGTGATTCCCTTCGAACGCTCCATTGCTGAAATTAATGAAATGCATAACGTTCATCATCTACTCTACCAAGGCGACATTTTGCTGACACCGTACGTGAGAATTTCAGCGCCAATCATTATTTTTTTGGATGTGAACATTGTAGTGAGCATGCGGAACAGATTGCTAGAGCCACAAACGGAGGGGATCGTGAGGAAGGACAACGCATGAAACGTCAAGCCAGTGCATTCAAGAAAATGCCGTCAAAACTTTGGTTAGAAGGAGTGAACTACCACTTCGCGACAAGCATCAGTAAGCATAGGATGATGTCATAGGTTAGCTAAAAACTCGAGTGGAAATACAGTATTAATAATATTCCAGAGGATAACATTAGGAACGCATTCGCTAAAGCAGCAAAGCTATGGGAAAGCAACACCTGTATCAATTTCACAGAAAATCCTTCAGGTGAAGATTAAGCAACTTTGACTTAATGTGTGAATGCTATGCGCTGCGCTAAGGAAGATTGCAAAGAAGCGAATTGAATAGACGCTAGTCCGGAGTAAGGCAGAATGCAGAATATAAAAGTTGATTATCTAAAACGAAAGTATATATAGAATTATGATTGATAGAAAACCTCTTGTTCACGTTGTTGCTCTGTTTTTTCGTTACACATAAAAACGTTACTCTTTCAGCTAATGCCCGAGTGAGGGTGTTTTCTGGACAAGGATGTTATTCCTATGTAGGCAAACTCAAGGAACGCGGCGAACAGCTGATGTCTTTGGGATACAATTGCGCTACGTTAGACATTGTTGCGCACGAAATCGGTCACACTCTTGGATTTATTCATACCCATTCACGACACGACCGTGACAACTTTATCAAAGTTAAGACGGAAAATATTGCGGTAAATTCTTGACATCTTTTACTACAACTGCTAACATTATGACAGGCAGTAATTAGCATTTTCCTCAGCTCATAGTTCTAGGACGCCTAATCGAAATCTTTTCTCACTCAAGAATTGTTCACATCTGAGGCAGGAAGATGTACATCTGTGAGCCATTGCGTCAATGTGACTAATGCCTCTTGAGTATGTTCGTTAGAGCATTACGCCGCACAGATGTCCCTCAGTGTCCGACGCATGTCTTCTGGAATTTCGTCGCTAATCAGTGCTCACAAGCTGATAAACATTATTCAACTTCGGTTTTGCAATACCGGTGCTCCTCCATTGCCTTGGTGGTAATTAGCAACTATTGTTTCAGAGCCTTATAGACTGTTGTTATATACTGCTTTGCGTAATTATACGCCCATATGAAAGTGTTTGACCAATATCAATAATACCTTGAGTGTCAACACCAACTTCTATTCCGGTGATACGATTACTTTTTATTCTCATTTTTTAGAAAGACCATCATGCCGATTTTGCGAAATTACAACTTCACCGTGTTTCTCAGTTGAGCTTCATTTTTTGTGGTTGAAAAGCTCTCTTAGGGTTAGTGTGCCATGAGGGTTGTATTGAAGAAATGTGGTTTGTTAAAGGCACGCTCCACGATTAGGCGCGCTCGCCTGTTCCATCCCGGGGGTAGTAGGCAGGCGGACAAGCGTTGATGTCGCGCCCCTTTTGCCGCTTGAAAGTGCGCGACAAAGGCGCAAGGAGCTCGTCCGACCCGCAACTCACACCTTCGTCCGCAAGCCCCACCCTCCGCTGTCGGTTGCCACGTGGCGCTGCTTGAAAAGCGCGGGCGCATTTGAGGCAGCGGTCCCATCGCGACCAATGTCATTGGCACTGGAGCAACTAGAGTTAGGTTCGTGAAACTCGTCCAACGCGCCTCTTCTCTATCCCAAGGTGGAATGTGGCTGAAATAGGGGAGGTCTCTGTACGGGGCGTAATCGGTGGTTTCGTTTGCTTTCCTTCTCTTTTACAGACCACCTCCCACCTCTAGCTTCATAACTGAACGCTTTTCCACACCTATTTTATCCCGAATCTTGCCTTTAAGTGCCGGAAAATTCAACCTCTGTTCCGTAGTTCGTACCAACGCAGTTGCGGAGGGTCTCTTCGGTGACAGCGGCTTATACAACAAATCTAGGTATATATTCAAAAATCTGCAGAGCAGAAGTCACAGAATTCAAGAATATTTGTGATTCACATCGTAAGGGCCATATACAGGGTGGCTACTAAATATTGGCGCATGGATTGTTGACCATATTTTTAAAACGAGAAGCTTTTACATCTTCAGAGGTTTATCTTTATATACCTTATAACATGGCAGTACATTGCTAAAGAAAGTGCTCGAAATGGCCTCCTTCGGCAGCGATACAGGCTTCAAGTCTCTTCTCAACTGACATCACTGTGGGCCGCAAGTAGCTGACGTCAAGCTCCTTCCACGCCTCCTCCAAGGAAGCCTTCAGGGAGTCCAAACTTCGACGTTGCTCAGAAGGCATCTTCTGCTTCAAGAAGCCCCACACCGCCAAATCAATTGGTTCAAATCGGGCGACTTAGATGGCCAAACATTTTGTGCCCGGTAACTTGGAAAATGACGGTCACAGTTCTCCAACATTGATTTTGCGGCATGTGGAGGCGCCCTGTCTTGCTGAAGAATGCAATGACGTTCGCTGAAGGTCAAAAGAGTCCTTGGAAGAAGGGCATTACGTGAAAATTGTTTCCGGGTAGATCTGGGCGCTGGCTTTGATGTATTCATCCACAAAGACAAGCGGTGTCATGGTTTCAGAAGTAATTCCTGCCCAAACCATGACAAATTTGAAAAACGGTTCCTTGTGTGTACACAAGGTCGAGCAGAATGTCTGCTAGCCAGATCCAACAACTGCCTGTCGTTTTGCAAATCGTGCGCCACTTCTGGTCTGAAGATCTACTCACGTCACGCCGACGTCAGCTACTTGCGGCCCACGGTGATGTCAGTTGAAAAGAGACTTCAAGCCTGTATCGCTACCAAAGGAGGCCATCTCGAGCACTTTCTTTGGTAATGAATTTTCATGTTTTATTGTATATGAAAATAAACTTCTGAAGATATGATAGCTTCTCTTTTTGGAAATATGATCAATAAACCATGCGCCAATATTTAGTAGCCACCCTGTATTTGTTCCAAGGTAACAAATATCTTCACTTTAACGTGAAAGATGCAAATATATCAATATTTTCAGTATGGACTGGCAATACGCTTTCGAAAAATCTATGCCGGCAGAAAACGATAACCTTGGATTTCCGTACGATTACGGTGACATTATGCATTACCCCAAAGACACGTACGTTTGCATATATAATATATGTGAGGTCCCAGCTTATATCTATGCTATTACGGCGTACGATGTACTATAACGTGTTGTTGAGAGAACACCTAGAGTTATGTGTTTAAATTCGAAATGCTGTCTTACGTGTATCAGTGGATCAAAAAACGGAGCGCCGACAATAGAGCCGCATGACGCGATGTACACGCAGACTCTTGGGTCTCCAATTATTTCTTTCAATGAGTATTCCATGATGAACGAACTCTACGGATGCAAAGGTTTGACTTCTCTTTTCCTAAAAATCACATTAACTAAACCCCACATTCACATGTGCTTCGTACTGTCTAATTAGAATGATTTTGTGTTCAATCGCCCATTGCGGATTTACTTGGATGGTCGTTTCAGATTAATAGCTAATTTCTTATTACAACCAAATAACGTATCAGGTTATCAGAGAAGTTGTGTCAATTTCTTTCGAGTGAGAAGTTTTCCTGTGAGAACCAAACTTTGAGCACAATGTCATAAATGGTTTGAAAGGGAATCGTTCACGTTATAAACACAGCGTACCCTTTCTACGTTATGAATTAAGTGAATTCCATACCTGTAAATTAGGATGTTAAGGGGAGGAAAAATAGCCAAATAGGCAACTACCTCAAACTCTATATTCCACTGGAAGAAATCAATCGTTGATGTACTATGAACTTGACACGAGCTCTCCCTAGCATTCCACTATTGAATGCTTCATCAAACCGTATATTTCTTTTCCAAGAATGGTTTTGTTTGTTATCCACTTAATGTCGATGGTTGACCGCTAACTTGTCAAATTTGCTCCCTAACATTTTTATGCACGAGCGATGAAAAAACTGATAGGAGATCAGAATAGGTTGTGACTAAGTAACGCGTACATTACGGGTTAATTTTTTAGCATTCTTTTTTTAACATTTTTTAAGTAGTGTCGTCATCAACTGGATAAGTTGTTATGTAGGCTTCAAATTCTACTAGAATGACAAAAACGAGAAAAAAAAACAAAACATATGTCTGAATAGGGCAAATAATACGCTCATGAATGATTCATGGGTAATGTGAAACTTGTCAAATTTGCTCCCTAACATTTTTTTGCACTTATTTTAGGAGTTTTAGTGAAAAAATCTTTCCTTAAAAAACTACAAGGGTATATCGTTTATCATTCGAAAAGCTGTAGTTTGAAAAAAGAAGGATACGCTTGTTAAAGATATCAATATTGCACTGTTGAGCAGAACACAGTGCTAAATACATGGTAAATCATCGACTAATTTCCTTTGGAGGAACGTAGAGCTTGAGTTAGTTGCCGGTTCAGCTACTTTTCATCTCCTAGGCTTCCCAATTTGTAAGTCTGTGATTGAGTCAGTAACAAAGACCAAAAGGAAATTACAGTGCACTTCATACATGCGAGATATTAGGATGAAAACACTGTTCAAATTTTGTCTATTCTTCAATATGAGTGACGTTTCACAAAAGCACCCAAAACGTGATACCATCACATATTCACACCGGTCTTTCAAATGCTTATTCCAGAACGTGTCAACCAGACACCTCGGCCAAGTGTGAGATGGGCGGATTTCCTCATCCACGAGACTGCTCGAAATGCATATGTCCCTCTGGTTACGGCGGAAAGCTATGCAACGAAAGAGTAAGAAACCAACAAAGTTCAAAACGAGTCGTGTGCAAAAGCCAGATGGGTGCCTCTGGTTGGCAAAAAGTCCAGAAAGGCGATAAGGATGTTTCCTTCTAGACATCACCTTAGATGCAACCTCCCTCCCCCCACTACGTCTTTTGTTCCATGCGCTCTTGGGTTTGTCCAGGTGTTCGAGGTTTATATTTTTCGTTTCAATAGCCTACTTCTATTCATATTTCGATTCAGGAAACTTGAAAAAAAAACTGTTTTTCTATGCATGAACATTTCATTACTTGCACCTAGCGTATTTGTGTGGGAGAGGAACCCAACACGTTACTTGTGCGATTCCTTTGAGTGGTGTAGAAAGTATCAAAATAAAAAACTACTATTTCAGCCATCAGGGTGCGGCGCAACACTTCAAGCTACTTCAAACTGGACGACTCTCACGGATACTTTTAGGCGCAGCTTTGATGATCCAAATGATTTTAGGATGTGCAACTACTGGATTACAGTATGTACTATGCTCCACTAAAACCCTTTTATGAGTAATAGAATGGGATCCTCAACTTTTTCAATTATTTTTATTAATTTGCTCTAGTACCTCGCTAGCTACAACGCATCAAATCACAGAACAATAATCCTGGATTTTCCAGTCTCCAAGTGGAACAACAATCGAAGTGAAGGTAGTGAAATACCCAGGGGGTCATTCTTCTTCCGGATGCAAACAATCTGGTTTCGAGATCAAAACCAACAAGGATCAAACACTCACTGGCTACAGGTACAAATTATGTCAAGCATTGTGGATTAAAAAAGCAAAGAAATAAGTGTGGTAGCAAATTAAAGCATTTTCACAAAAGAGCAATCCGTGTTGATCGTCTCAAACTTTTCGGGACGCAACACTGTGTCCAAGCGCAGCAGTTTTTTATCTAAAAAAATTTACGTTTACGTGATTTTCAATTTTTTTCCTTTCACTAAATACTTCACTTAATTTGCATCTCGTCAATAATTGCACGAAACATATTCGAAAAGGCTACGATAGATTGAAAGTGAGTTGAAGGTTCTGCTCTGAGGACGCTGGAAGAGTGCTTCGTTCTTCCACAAATCGCGTTCCAATAATCACGTATAACCGAGCTCATTGGGATGTCATAACGGCAGTGTTCGAGTACAGATATGGTACTAGTTTCCGTTTTGTCAGATGGAATTAAGTTTATTGAACCAAAGCAATTTAGTTCCCGCACGTCCAGATGCATGATTGGTTCTTGCAGACGTCTTGTCAACTAGCAAGATGACACTGTGTTGAAATCACGTTGCATTTGCTAATCTGTTTCTACTATGATGAAGGTTTTTAATGATGTATGTAGTTCAGTTCTTCATTACCTCAATATTCTTCGAATCATTTGTCTATATTGGATGCATTTTCAATGACGTAGCACCGCAGCTATTCTTGAGCGGTTTTCAAACAATTCACTGGCTTGAGGCCCATCATCCACGATAAGAATGAAAAGAACAGAAATATTGCTTTTGTTTTGGTAAAAAATTCGAAAAATCGAAAGGCTGCTACGCGTTCAAAGTGCCCACGGACGTCTTTCACAAATGCTGGCGACGGGGATGCTTCCACTTGGTTCTTGGAGTGCCTTCACTAGAAACTCTTTCTGGCCTTCTGCTTTATTGCATTCACATCTTACACTTCTACTCCATCCTATTCTATCGATCGATTTGTCTCTACTCTCCGAAATCGCGCGCTTTAACCCGATTCTTTCATTGCGCGTGATACGTAGCCGGCCAAAGGCCAACTTCTTTCCATGCCTCGCCTTTGGCTCCGCCCGAATTACCTTCGATTGTCCATAGAATGGATTTTTGTAGTTTGTTTCTCTTCGGAAACCGAATCTTCATGCGTGAAACTTTGTGTATTGCATCTAGTGATCACAAGTGATACATTCATGTTGAGAAAGAATGCTCTGAAGTTGGTTGGAGATCAACGAGCAAAAGAGGGAAACTCATGCTGCATGTTTTCAACGGAATTCTCCGCTTTTTTGGCCCTGGAGCTTTAGACAGCATCCCGAATCCCACTGGAAACCTAACCCCATCTATCATAAACTCTCGCTTCAAATGTTAATTTTGTCAGAAAATGTGTCCAATCCGTAGCTTAGATTGACTATCGAACGGATGCTCACACAAATCTGCTGCTACATCTGTTGAGAGTTTCCTTTTTCTTAAACCTCTATATTCATCAGATTGGTTTTTGATGGAAGCCAGTGGCATGAAGGGAGTTTAGTAATAGGAAGAGTGCAAATCAATGACGACAGTAATTCATTGTTAGGGTCGTATAAAATGTGTCGCATATGAATGTGCGTTGTTATCCTAAAACAATTTGTTCAGGTGTGGGATATTCTGATGCACGTACACTACACAAAAGCACAGCTATCGTCCGATATACAAATGTGCCGTGGCTTGAACTACTGTTGGGGAACTGCCACAAATACAGTACTGCCCCTAAACTTTGTACATCTACGCGTTGCGACAGTTGTGTAGCGTCGCAAACCGTCGCACCATTATAACTTCCTTGAATGTAGAGATCTTTACAGCAATGGACTCGCTTCTCTGTGGCGAGTCTTCTTCTTTTTTTCTTCTCCCTAGCGTTAGTCCCGCGCAGTCGCAGGGTCCGCTGTTTTTGTCAGTCGTCGCCACTTTGCTCTGTCCAGGGCATCTTCGTGGCCGTGACTTCACCTAGGTCCTTCTTGATTACGTCTTTCCACCTCTTCTTTGGGGCTCCTCGCGGTCGCTTGCCTTGCACTTCGAAGTCCATCGCTGTTCTTATCGGATGGTCCTGTGGCCTCCTTAGCACATGCCCATACCATCGCAGACGCTGTTCCCGTACCTTCAGCTGGACAGGGGCAGTCTGCATGACCGCTCTGACATCCTCGTTTCTACCCTGTCCAGCCGCGTCCAGCCGCAGGCCCATCTCAGCATCCTCATTTCGGCAGAGTGAAGCTGCCTTTCGTGATTCTTGTTCAGGGCCAGCACTCGCTGCCGTATAGCATCGCAGGCCTTACCACTGTCCGGTACACCTTCCCTTTGAGCGTTCTGGAGCACCTTCGATCGCAGAGGATTCCAGTGGACTCCCTCCATTTCATCCATGCAGCGTTGACCCGAGCCTTCACTGCCTGATCCACACTACCGTCGGCTGCCAGATCGCTCCCAAGGTATCGGAAGTCCTCCACTCTTTCGATGGTCTCACCATGGCCGTCCACGATCGGCTCTGCACCCTCTTCGGAGCTCAGGAACTTGGTCTTCTTGACATTCAGCCGTAGCCCACCTTCTGCCAGGACTTTCTGCCATTTCTGCACCTTGGCTTGAAGTTCCTCTCTACTATCCGCTATCAAGGCGATGTCGTCAGCGTAGAGGATGTCTTCAGTGGTCCCTCCATGAGCCCCTTC